ATTGGCATCGCCTCTGCACAACCAAAAAAAAAAAAAAAAAAAAAAACGAAGCGCATTTGAACTTGTTCAACGATCAAACCATGATTGTTTACATCAATGAGCTGATTTGAAGTGATTTCATCATTTGGATAGACTTCTACCCGTCGACATACTGCCAGTCTATGGCCCTCGCTTAACTATATAAGAGAGGGTAGTTAGGGTTAATAAAAGAGAGAGAGAGAGAGAGAGAGAGAGAGAGAGGATGCACAACGAGTCTTTTACATGTCCTCGGTAATCGAAGAGAGTACGAACTCGTACAGCGTGCAAAAGAAAGAAGAAGAGAAAAAAAAACGGATCAAAACGAAAGCCCACTTGAACTTCATTTCAAACGAGAGCCACATCCATGCCTTAAAACGAATAAATAGCAGCAGCTACAGAGTCCCTCCCCCCGGCCCAGCGTATGGCCCTCCCATAAAAAGACGACTGAGCTGAGAACTCCGAACTTTCCGTAAATTCTCTGCATTGACGACGAGTCGACAGGCAGTTATGTGCGCATCATATCCGTTCCATCATCAACTCCACACTTCCAAATATAACTCAGTCGACTACACAAACAAGCTTGGCATCTGTAATCATCCATCCATCATATTTCAAAGGTTCAAATGGAACAAGACGCAAAAGACACGCCAAATGAAAAAAAAAAAAAAAAAAAAAAAGAAACTCAGTTGTTTTCCTCGCTCTCTACCTGCAAAAAACGAAACCTGCGATTCCAAATTCAAGTCCTGCTGGGTCCCATCTTATCTTCTATCGAGTGGTATCGACTGCTAAGTCGAGACAACCCCGAAAGTCACCTTTCCACTCCGCCCTCCTTTGCCCGTCGCTCCCTGCATGTAATAAGCTCCCGCTTATCTCCATAATAGACTCTCTCTACGTCCCAAAGCTCCGACCTCCTTTGCCCATCACTTCACTGCATGTGTCAGTCCCTACACACAAATCTTGCAACTAAATCCAGTCAGCAGACTCGGCACCGAACTCTTCACCAGATTTGGTCAGTCCCTTTTCCCTCCGACATCAACCGTACACGACACACAAAATCTGCATAGCATAAAACTGTCCGAAATACGCTGACCGCCACCGATACCCTCTAAAGACCCTGAGGGAACCCCACTGCTCTGCAATTATGAAGACGTCAACAACAACACTTCAATTATGAAGACGTCAACAACAACAACAACAACAACAACAACAACAACAACAACAACAACAGGAAAAAAAAAAAAGAAGATGGGGCAGTCGGCTCGGAAACACACAGCGACTCACGACCACAGCGCACCACATTGACATCGTGAGCAAGTTTGAAAAAATTGAAACCTCTGGACTACTGTTTGAACCCCGCAACTTGTTTCTTTAAACAAAAAGCAACAACGAGGGCGGCGGGGGGGGAAGGAACACACAAAAAAGAAAAGAAAAAAAAAAAAAAAAACAGAAGCACACGTCAACTGACTCAACCCTGTCCACTGTCCTCTGTGCACTACTGTTCTGAAATATATCCTGATGTCTTGATGTCAAGGCTATCGTGAAACATTCAAATGACGTCAGTAATAAACCCTCCAGCACGGACCAGCAGTGTGTGTGACAACTCCACAAACACGATGACCACCACCCTCCACTTCGGAAGTCTTGGTTGGCGTGAACCATTCGTTCGAACGATACTCGTTATGAAATGCAAGTTTATTTCATCTTAGCATCAAATATTATTTTATACCATAAAAGTTAATATGCCAACACAATTCACAATGACATACGTGATGTGAAAACAGCGAAGAACAGCCTTACACCTACAGTGTGTATGCCACGACCAGACTGCCCGCTCCCCCTTTCAATGTCTTGCTTCCTTCATATGTCACACACACAACCAAGATCAACTTCCGTGAACCACCTTACCTCTTTGGAGGCAGGCACGTTACCTCACACTCCCATAACCGAACAGGATCCCTGGCCCTCTCACTCACCTCACCATCGACCATCGACGTTAACTTCCAACAGTTGCAGCAAAGACAGGCTATAATTTTGAATGGACGCACAGCCGATTTCACGTATGTAGCTTAGCCCTCTGTGTTCACGCAAAGAAACGCGGGCACATACAGCTTAAGGTCATCGATGTGGACGCTGCCAAAAGACCTGCGCACCCAACGGATCGCCGAGGCCAAGAGATGCCCGACCAACAAACATGTCCTGATAGCAATATCCGTAGCCCTGGTCAGGCTTCGCCTCTTACTATCACACAGAGCAACTCGTGCTCCGTTCCACTTCAACTCGTGCTCCGTTCCACTTCAACAAAAGGGCGTACATCAGTCAACAGCATAACGCAACAGTAGCTAAGGCTGCCGACCTTCCAAGCAAGCAAAGAAGTATACCGGGAGAATAACTCTCTTTCCACAACATCATCCTTGTGCAAGAGCCAAGCCATTGTGTCTTGCAAACTCAGACACTGCTGGGTTCATTCACAAAGCGCAGCTGATAGTAGACTCATATCGTGCACGAAACGAGGTGTCCAGCCTTTCTTACGATGCAGCTACTCCGAGGCAACTCAAGCTAGCCTCAGGTGCACACAGCCCAGTGATCCACGTGCAATCCACGTCTCTGTGGCACTCCGTTCCAGTCGCCAAAGACTGCCCAAAGTCGTCCGTCCATATCGAATTCCCCACGTCAGTTGACAAGCAGGCACACACCTACCCTTTCACCTACATGCTGCTGCAGCGATTCGCCCATCATCTCCTTTCGCTTCACAACAGTAACCCTTCCCACCTCTGGGCGCCGATCTCCCACACGAAGCCCTTCCCATGCATGGACTGCTGCACCAACTCACTGCTCATGTCCTCGCTCTCCGATCTCCCTCATAAACTCGTTCACCCATCACGTCCTTCCGCCTTCACCATTACCCTGCAAACCCGCCCCCATAAGAACCCCCTATTGCGCATAGGCCGTTGTGCCGTTCCACGGCGGCCTGCACCACCTGTGGACGACAAAATCACCCTTCAAACCCGCCCCCATAGGAACCCCATATTGCGCATAGGCAGCTGCGCCGTTCCGCGGCGGCCTGCACCACCTGTGGACGACAAAATCACCCTTCAAACCCATACCCATAGGAACCCCCTATTGGGCATGGGCAGGTGTGCTGCTCCACGGTGGCCTGCACCACCTGTGGACGACAAAATCACCCTTCAAACCCATACCCATAGGAAGTCCCTATTGCGCATAGGCAGGTGTGCAGCTCCGCAGCGGCCTGCACCGCCTATGGACGACAAAATCTCCCTTCCCTGCAAACTCGTCCCCACAGGAGCCCTTTCCATCCATGGACTGCCCCACTGCTTCACTACAGTTCAGATGACAAGTGCATATATGAATATAAAAGCTTGCACAAGCCCAGATGCCCCAGGCGCTTGCCTCCAGTGTCACGGAACTACCCCTCAGGTCAATAAGCTCCACACTCAAACCCCTCGCTGGGGGTCACCCACTGAAAAAGCACATTGCTCACTCACGAGTCGGGCAAGATCATAATGACGACTCCTTTCAATTCATAGCCTCGTCTGATAAGTGCACAAACAACATTCTGCAAATTTGATCCGCCGCAGAATTTGACACGAAACGAGCACGAAATGAGTATCCGGATTCTTCCCTCTCACTTGTCATAACACAGTAACAAAGACAGCATAGAGAGGGGTCTCGCTGAAACCGAACGTAAGGAGGTTGACCGACCGCCCGTACCTGAAAGCTTTGCCTGCGATGTACACCTGTCAGTTACATGTGAGTATCCGGTCACTCAAACTCAGCGGAAGAGAGGACATCTTTCCACTAGACCTCCAGTTTTTTACCCACCTGTTCTTTCAGCACGCTGATGCTCTGAAAACACAGCATGCTATGCTTCCGAAACGTACCCTCCCGAAACAAGGGCTGTACCCTCCCGAAAATAGGGTTCTCCCCCTGTAACCCTGATACAACACCACAGCACCCTAACACACTCTCGCACTGAGACTCATGTCATCCCTAACTGACAAGTCCAACTGAACTGTGTGTACTCAACATAAAGAAACCGCAGGTGCACAGCGGCCGCAACTCCCAAGCTGACACAGGCTCAGAAAGGGATAAACCGCCTGCCGTAAGATGGACGGGCACTAGAGTCGTACGGAGACCACCCCACGTTAATCCGCTAAAGTCCACGAGCCTGATAGTAGGGTAGAGCAGCCAGCCAAAACACAGAATCTACAGACGCAAGAAACCTGAATGGCATCCGTTACGAATGGACAGAGAGGCTCTTCACCAGACCAGGGCAGCAACGTCCATAAGACCGCCAAAATGAATGTACCACACCTATAAACCTCCAAAGGTAAGTTGAAAGGACTAGCACCACCGCAGCTCAACGAAAGCCCGCACTGGGTAATTAGACTACGCCTCGAAATCGGTACCACAACTACAAGCCTCCAACGGTGAAAGGATTATCACCACTGCAGCTCAGCGAAAGCCCACACCGGGAAATGAGACTATGCCAAGAAAGTGGAGATTGTCGACAACAGAGTTTGCTTATGCAAAGAAGATCTGCACAGACGTCCATAGATCCAAGAAGCCTTCCACATGGGCTGATCAATAAACCGTGATCACTTTTCGGAGAGCCTTGCATTAGCTGTCGCCTCCGCTTGCCTCACTGGGTAGAAGTACGGGTGAGCCTGAGAATAAAAAGACCGCCAAAAACGTACGCAGGATTCCAATTTGCGAATCAGTCAAGGACGCCGCTCAAACACGCATTACAGGAGGGAGTGCACAAGGTGCAAAAGCGCACACTCAACAAGCATAGAGAGGGGGGAATAAGAGAGAGAAAAGGGCTGTCTCTTATACACATCTAGATGTGTATAAGAGACAGGATTAGCATGGCTCCTGTGCAAGGATGACAAGCAGAAATT